TCTGGATATGGCTACTATTAAATCAGGAACAACTGACAAACACTTTTACTTGGAGAACCTGCATTCTTATGCAACTGTACTGTAATAAAGATGACAACCATACCTACCTTGCTCCTTTTTTTTTTTTTTTTTTTCTCTCCAAAGGAAGGGTCTCTGCTAAGGAAAAAAGCTTACAGAGTTTAGCCTTTACCAGTGAGTGTTCAGTGGATATAATGACAAGGAGCTTGCTTAGAAATGAAGGAGAAAGGGGTTTTCCTGTAACTGTGAGTTATACTCACATCCCATAACAGTAATTATGAAGGGTTCTTTGGCCACTTGTGTGTTAGAGTTTTCAATAAAATACATATTGATGGTGTTAAAATGCTATGAGTAAAGAGATGACTTTTTGAGTTCCTTCTGAATCAAAGTATTTATTAAATACAAATGCCAAGATAGAGATTACACTTACCAACACCGATAAAACTTGCCTTGGACTACATTAAGAGTGTATTTATACCATTATGAAACTGTGAGAGGCTTGAAAAGCCTACATAGGCCCTGTACCTATTGTAAAGAAAATGCCTGTTAGAGTAAAATAAGGTGTGAAAAGGCACAGCTGGAAGAGAGGAGTAGGGAAGTAAATATGAATCTTATCAAGATGCAACAGATATTGAACTGATGAAATTAAGCAAACATAAGTATGAATTAAATCAAATCTAGGCTGTGTGTACTCTGCTGAATTAAATCAGGTAAAAATATAGAAATAATAGTGCTTTGCCTTCTTTATGGCGTCTTAAAAGGCATGTCAATCCAAATAAAGTATTGACTGTAGCAAAGTTTCAGATTGTTAGTAGGCACACAACAAATTAATCAAGAATGTTGACTGTCCCACAAAGAACTATATAATTCAACAGCCTCTTCTTGCAGACTTTAGTCCATTTACTCCAGGAAGATTATCATACTGTGCTATCAACCATGAAAACAGAAAAGGTGGTTTCAATAATCTAAAGGAAACTTCAATAAAGCAACTGAAACTCAAGGTTGTCAGCACAGGAGAATGACAATCAAAATGAATTTTTAAACACAAGCATCCACAAAGTAAGGAATGTATAGTAGTTTTGAGATTCTACATTACTATTTCCAAAGTGAAGCACAGCTGTTCAATTTCACTGCAGTTTAGAATGAGAAATTCAGTTTTGTGTGTGTGTGTTAACAATAGATATCTTGGCTTGAGATTGTTACCATGTTGTATATGATAATATTTTTGTTTGTTTTTTGTTTTCCTTCTTCCAACTCCATAGACCGAGCAGCTAACAATTGAAGGTATTTGCTGCATCTTTACACCTGTATAACTGATTTAGAGGAGAAGTTCCATTTACTTTGAGAAGGAATCATAACCACTGCTGTGTGTACAGACATAGGTATATGTACTTCCACATATTTTATGTGTGGAAGCCTCAGCTTAGCTACAGTAAATGGGTGGAACTTGGGAGAAGACTCGAGAAATGTTGAATCTTAAAGCACTCCATTTATTCTGACCATAGGCTATCATATGATAAAAGTCTCAATGGTATGGTCTTGCAGAGTTCCTGATTGTGAAGCAGCTTTGTAAGTGCTTAGTGAACATGAGGGACTTTCCAGATCCAGGCCATATCCTACAGCCATAGTTCTGATGTTGTCTTTCAAAATGTGCTCCATTCTTGTCGTGGTAGTGCAGAGGGACAGAGCCCTGGGCACAAGGCTCCGAGTGAGGCACTGCATAAGCCTTTCAGTTTACCTTTGTAGGATACTCTGTGTTTCTGTTTGCAGTGTAGTTTTGGGAGCATTACTCAGGCTGTTCTCTTGTGGTAGCAAACCTCATTTGGTACAGGCTTCATATCATGTTCATTCAGATAACAGCAATAAGCACAGCCATAACTCATGATAGGTAAGCCTAAAATCACCACAGTGGTTTACAAAGGTAATAGAGCTGTCTGAAATCGGCATAGAATCACACCTATTGCCACAGAGTTGAACTTTGAATGGTGCCTGTCACTTGAGCTGGGTGTTTGCTTTGCACGTTGCTAATGAGATGTCATTCTTCCACTGGCACTGTAAATCCAGTGGTACCTCCTGAAATCATGTGTCATGAGTCCCCTATGCAATGGTGATGGAATATCACGGTGACTTACAACATTCTAAATATGCAAAATGTTGGCAAATGGATTAGCCTTTTAGTGTTGATTGCTGCATCTAAACAATGTTCACCCACTGCAAAATGTCAGCACTCTCCTGATGGCAAATGATGAGTGGCAGAATTGAAATGAGTGGTCTCATTTACATTGGGCTTAGAAATGTAACACTGATAGCTTTTTGGGGGGAAGGAGGGAAATCATACAGGAATCAGTGTTATGAAAGACATAATCCGAGTCAAAGTTGTCGGCTTTTCTTTTACCATTACTGTTAAAAAAAAAAAAAAAGAGTGGAGGGAGAGGAAAAAGAAAAAATTATGCAAATAATGGGAAAGAAAAGGCAATGCAGCCTGACTGCTGCAACTTTTCATCCTGAAGAGAAGCTACTGAAGCTGTAGTTCTTCTCTTTGCTGTGGTGGATCCATTTAGGTCTCACTGTACTTTGCATGTTGCATATCAGATTTTACGGCATTTGAGATTTCTTCTAGGCATTTTTCTTGTTTGTTGTTGCCCTCTGACTGTATCCTTCTGCCCAGTTGTTGGGCCTGTTTCAGTTGGTCTACTTTACAGTATTTACAGTGTTCTGGGCTCTTGTCTTTCCCCCATCCCTCCCTTGGCTGGGACTGGATCCTTTTCTGCATGCAGAGTGTTTGCTCATGAATTTCACAGGAAATTTTGTAACTTGTCCAATTCACTGGGTTTAGATTTTTAATATTTTATATTACCACTTTATTATTACTAAAATAGCAGCCAGAGGCATCTGAGCTGAGGTCAGGACCTCACTGTGCAAACTACAGGAAGAGGCAAGGCTGTTCCCAAGTGCTTGCAGTGCTACTGATGGGTGCTTGGGCGTGTAAATTGCGGGGTTAACAGCTGCATATTTCCACAGGTTTCAGGCTAGGATGCCAAAACACTACTGAAACACAAATAAATTTAGCCTCCTTTACTCTATGAAAGTCAGAGGCTGGTTCTGCAGTAACACTTTCCCCCTCTCTAATTCCCACACATGTACTTGTTACTGACATATATATGAGTCTGGTCAATATAGGTGCTTAACTTTTTAAAGAGCCTGTGTAAGTCACTAAGTGCATATTGATTTGAAGCAAATGTAAATTAGAATTAATTTTGACTTGCTAACGTAGTCAAATAAGGAACATTTCTATTGATCTCTGTCCCAGAAGCCAATTATCGGGATTAAGTGTTTTTATTACATGAAATGCAGAGTATAGTATATATCACTCTGCATTGATCAGTGTGAAATTGTGTATTTAAGACAAGGACTGTAAGCAAGAGTAGTTAACGAGTGATTTATTTTTAAAAACCATATCTTGTTTTATTTACCCCCTGCTCTTCCCTGTTCAAAAGCTGTGCTTGTAACTACTACTGAATAGGAGGTTGTTGATGCATGTGGATCAACAGGGATTCTTGTTCATATCATTTCTATTTCAGCTTCCTTTCCTTTTACTCTGCTCTGTCTATACTGTGCGTTCCCTCCCCCTTCTGTCTCCCTAGCCACTGTAAAGCTTATCTAGATTTCCTACTCCTTAGCAGTAAGCAGTTCTGCCGTATTGTGATCTGCATGGGAAAAAAAAATGTTTCCTATGTGGAATAAATACATTGCAGCTATCGCTCCTGCAAGCAAGCAATGCTAAGTATCTGGAGAATTTACTAGAGCATTACAGGTGATGGTTGTAAAAAGTGTGCTGAATAGACGTGACAGGGATGCTGCAGTTAGTGACAGGGGTCCGGGGGCCCCGGCCCCTCCGTGATCAGCCTCCCGGGGCTCAGCAGGCGGCGTGGGGGCCCGGTCGTTTCCAGCCGAGCCCTCGGGCTCTGCCTTTCCCTTCCCGGGAGCAGGATGCGGCCACAGCGCGCTGTTACCAGGCTTGCGCTTGCAAGACTGCGACCTCCAGGAATCGCTCTGCTTCCCGTTATCCAAAGGCTGACATTATCTGTATGTATCGCTATAGCGGTCCGTACCTCAGCCCTACAGCAACTTAATAATCTTGGTAACATCCTGCACTCAACTCATTTTCTTGGCAGTAGTTTTAATTACGTTTCGGGCTCCTGAATGAATTTGTTTTCTTTGTATCCTCGGTATATTGAGACGCTTGTCACGTTTGGGTGCCTGCAATCACTGATGCGTTTGTTTTAGGGGATGAATTAGTCTTCTGAGCCTGAGCATGTCCAATTTATGAATTAGATTTCATTGAAAGCTAGAACAAAACAAAACAAGAAAAGGTTATGCTGTACCACTTTTCTCCCCCACCCCCTCGCCCCCAGCGCGGGGGTAAAAGCCTCTCATTTCCATTTCGCTCCTCAAACGCGTGGATCATGTCCCGGGCCCCAGCGTGCGGAAGGAGGAAGGGGCAATCCCTCCAGCCCGCTGTCGGCGCGGTGCCCCGAAGTTGCTGGAGCGGTGGTGGGAGCAGCCCCGCGCCCCCAGCTGCGGGGGCGTCCCGCGGAGCCGGGCGGGGGCTGCGGGAGGCCGCGCAGCGCTGGGCACCCTCCGGGCAGCGGCTGCGGCCCCGCGGACCCTCCCGCGCCCGGTAACCGGGAGCTGCCCACCCGCCTCGCCTCCCTGCGCTTCGAGCATCGGCCCCCTGCCCCTTTCCTCCGGGAGATATGCGTTATATATAAAGATATATATCTATATATATGCGCATCTAATTCCGGATGTACCGAGGGGTACCCAGCGGCGAGCAGCGTGCCCGCTCCCGCCCGGCCGGCCCGGTTGGCCGTGCCCCGTCCCTGCCCGCCCGCCGTGCCCCGGCGGCACCGAGCGCCGAGGCTCCGCAGTCACGTGGCGCGGGGGGCGGGCGGCGGCGGCGGGGGGGCCGCTCCGCAGTTCGCGGTCTGCCGGCGCCCCGGCACACACCGAGCGCTGGAGGCTCCGCCGTGCCGCCTGCCAACCCGGGATCTACCTCCGTGATTTTTTTTTTTTTTTTTTGAGACCCGGCTTTTTTTTTTTTTTTTTTTTTTTTTTTTTTTCCTCTCTCTCTCTCCTCCTGTCCCCATCGCCCGTTTTTACTCGATTTTTGGGAAATTCTTGGCTCGCTGCGGGAATTCGGGATTTTTTTCTAAGAGGGGGGTGTCTGGGCATCTCCCCCCGGCGCCCACTGCCTTGCTCCACCTGCCCTTGCGCCTTTTCTCTTCTTTTCCCCTGTCTGTCTCTCCCACCAAACCCGGGCTGATGTGCTGTGCGAGAGGCTGGAAATGGAAGTGTTGATGCTCTGGCTTTTCCCCTGGATATTTCAGTGCGTTTCGGTGCGGGCGGACTCCATCATCCACATTGGTAAGACTGGGAGTGAGGGGGGGGGTTGGAGAGAGAGGCGGTAGATAAATAAATATATAAAGGGAGAACCTCGTTTAGCCGCGATAATGTCACGGGCAGCGATTGAACCCAACTCCGTGGAGAGACAGGAGGAGGGATGGGAGAAAGGCGGCTGAATTCCCCACCCGGCTCTCCCTGATTGTAAAGTTAGGGGCGAAATGCCGGCTGTTTGCCCGGCCGGGAGCGGGCAGGGGACCCGCTGGGGCGGCCGCTGCGGTCTCCCATGTGCCTGGGGAGTCTGTGCTTGGACCTGTTTGCGTGGAAAGGCTTTCTTTCCCCCCCACCCCCCGCCTCCTCGCCACCGAAAACAAACAACCGCCCCCATCACCCGAGCAGGAGAGAGGCATAATCTGAACGTGCTCACGGGGAAAACTTTCGGGGAGATAATCCCCTGGTTTGCATCCCCTGTCGTAGCAGGTGTCAGCCGAGCCGGAATGCGGAGGGGGAGAACTTGGCTGGGAAAGGGTTAGGAAGGCGAGCTTTGCAGCGGCTCTGTATGTGCGTGTGTGTGCGTGTGTGTCTATGCGCGCAACTGTTGTGGTTTGAATAAGATCTCATTAAAACCCCTGGGCAGCAAGAAGGCTGGATCAGCAGTGGGAGGAAGAGAGGGATGAATAAGAGGCTAAGGAAAGGCTGATGTGAACTTTTATGGCTTCTGGGAGCAAGGCAATGGTGATGTCCGCGGGAAGCCTGGCAAGCAAAAGCGAGGCTCTGCAGTCACCTTTTGGCTGGTGTTGAAAGGTACCAGCAGGAACGAAAATGAGGATGTTTAGGGGCGGAGAGGGGGGAGAGAATCACTTGTGGAGGATGATAGAGGAGGAGACGGGAGTACGGCCGGGAAATGAAAAGCCGTAATTCCCACCAGCCTTGCGTGGAGGATGAGAGATCAAAAAAAGGAGGGGGCCGGGGCAGGAGCCATCCTGGTGAGGGGAGGCTCCGCTGAGACGGGAGGAAACTCTCGTGTCGGCCCGGGGCGAGGAAAGGGAGGGGGGGACCAGCCCTGTAACAAGTTTCCCGGCACGGGCAGCTCCGGAGCCGGCGATGGAGGCTCCGGTCATCGTCACTCGCCTCCGGAGCCTTGGGGGCGCAGCCAAGGCAGACAGCATTGCGGAGCCATTAAGGAGACGGGGTCAGCCCTGACCGCAGCGGGGGTCTCGGGCCGATGGACACTCTCCCCAGGGCAGGCCAGGCACCGGGACCAGCCCCGCAGGGAGACGGTGGGGCGGCCTTGGAGAAATGCCCTGGCCGGGGGCAGAGGGCTGGGCGAAACAACCTCCGCGGGTCTTCCCCTCGGCCCCGCTTCTCTTGCGTGTGGACGGTGTCCCCTCGGCTTCTCCCCGCACGAACTTCAGCCCGAGTGGTGTTTGCTAACTAAGTGCTGGCAGAAATAGCGGTCCGGTGGGTAGGAGCGAGGAGCTGCTGTGCGCACAGCTCTGATTTCACACGGGCAGTGCACAGGCACGCACGGTGTGAATCAGCAGGACTTTTCCAGGCTGGGGAATAACGTGGTTTTTTTTTTTTTTTTTTTTTTTTTTTTTTTTTTTTGCTTGTTTTGTTGCCAGCTCTAAAGATCTCCCACCGCCTCGTACAGCAGGGCAGTAAGCCTGGCGTGGGCACACACACGCTCCGTAGAGAGGGATTTTATGTAACACACATCGCCAGATGTTTTCACGTTAACTGCATAAACAGGACAGTGAAATTACAGCTTCCAGGTTACTGGACACAAATCCTGGTTTCACGTTTGTGCGTGCTCGTAAGCTTCAGTAAAACCGCGGCCTGAAAGGCGACATCCCAGGAGCGGCGAAGCAGAGGGAGCAAAAAGTTGATGGAGTTCCCAAGCCTGCTCCCTTTCTCGTCACTGGTGAAGCGAGTCCCTCACGCCAGCGTGGCTGCGGTTCAGGGCTCCGTAAATGCCAGTGGAGCAAAAGTGGCCCGGAGAAATGCTGAGCTTGCCTTTGCCCGGCCACCCCCGCGTATGTCCCGGCTCCGATGCCCCGGGAATGCCCTGCCTGGCACGGTGCGAGCAGGCCCGGAGGGGAGCGGGGGCTCTGGGGCTGCGGGCGGGCCGAGCAGGTGACGAGCGGGGCCGAACCCTCCTCACCCTCTGCCGCCTTCCTCCCCTCAGGTGCCATTTTCGAGGGCAATGCTGCCAAGGACGACGAGGTGTTCAAGCAGGCGGTGTCGGATCTGAACCTCAATGACGACATCCTCCAGAGCGAGAAAATCACTTACTCCATCAAGCTCATAGAGGCCAACAACCCCTTCCATGCGGTGCAGGAAGGTGAGCGTCCCGGGCGGCACCCGCGGGGCTGGGACGGGATGGGGCTGGGGGAGGACCGTCCCCTCCCGGCGGCGGGGAGGGGGTGTCAGCGCCGGGGACTGCCCGGACCTGTCCTGGCGCTCGGCTGGAAACTTTTCTTCGGTCGGGGGTCGGCGCTGTCTTACAAGGAAAGGGGAGGGACGGCGCGGTGCGGCGGCGGCGGTGCCGAGTCCAGCCTAGCCCAGCCCCGCTCAACTCAGCGCAGCCGTGCCCGACCGTGCGGGGAGGGCAGCCTGGGCTGGGGGGAGGCAGCCGGGCTGCCCATAGAGGACAGGGCAGGGCATGGGGGGCTGCGCATCGCTCCTGGATCCGCAAGCGCCGCCTCTCTCCGCCGCTATGGAGGGAAGGCCGGGTCCCGGTCCCCACCGCCGCCCCCGATCCCCCATGAGGGACGCGGCGGGACGGGGCAGGCGAGCGGGTCCCTGCCGGAGGGGAGGGCGTCGAACGGCACCGAGGGGCCGGGCAGGGGACGCGGCTCTTGCGGAACGGCCGCGGAACGTGGCGGGGCATCTCTCCCCGAGCATCCTCCCCCGCGTCCCCCAGCGGGGAGGCAGAGACGGGGTCAGCGCCGAGCTCCATCCCGAGGAGCTGGGGAAAAGGGCAAGGGAGCCGGCTGGAAACCTGCCCAGAGTATACGAGGTCTGACAAGTCCCTACGTGGGTAAATAATTTCAATTAGATCTTTTGCAAAAGGGAAACGTTTAAATTAATCAGCTTGCCTTTACAAATAAGACTTTAAAAAGATATTATTTGTGGTTTAATGAAGCGAAGGTTAATTATGGCCTAGGTTATTTCAGAAGCTGTGTTTTTCGGTAGTAATTATTCTAGAAACAGAGAGCTATTTATATATCCAGACTAGAATATTTTAAAAAAAATGATTCATCACCAGCTTTACCCTTAGTTTTACAGAGCACAGTGAATCTTTCCCAGTATGAAAATTTGCATTAATCCATATGTATTTAAGTCTAAGTTGTGTACATGCAAATTATGGCTACAAAATTACACCAAATGTTAATTTTCATGAACTTTTAACAATTTCTTTTGCTATCTCTTTGCCTCGAAGAAGGTGCTAGGTAATATCATGCACATTCAGGAGAAATAGCAATAGATATCTTTTCAAGGGCCTCATCCCATTGACAGTAGGATTCCTTCTGCTGCTCTGAAAGCTTAGCAAGGTGGCATAAAAATAATCTTTATAAAGTGGGAAGAAGGGGAATTTAAAACAAAACTCCACCCGCATATTCAGGCACCAGAGGAAAATAAAGATCTCTAAATAATGGCGGGTTGATTTATTGGCAAAGAATAACTGAACAATTGGATCTTCTTACATTTGCAAAAAGCTCAGTGTCCTATATTGGAGCTTATTCATATTCATGGAAGTGACAGTAGTTGGCTGGCTGAACAATTGCTTTCAACAATGTCTCTTCTCAGAAGTTAAGCTTTATGAAACAATATTGAATGCCCAGGGATCTGAGCTGACAGTCTGGTGGATGGGGGTCTCTGCTCAGTTTTGTTGAAAGCAGAAAAGCGTGACCCACTGGAGGATTCTTCTTCATATACATATATATGCATTTTTTTTTTTAAATTTAGTTATTTGCTAAGCTTGAAGATTAGTATTGCATTTATGGAGACTACCTTGAAAATAAATTTTCTCTGTTGAAATTCTTTGCTGCATCCACAGAAAAGAATGTGGTCAGATTTTCAAGCTTTTTGGTATAGAATCTTTGTGCTACCTCAATATATGTAAATAAAGATGTTTTCTGCTGTCCCTTCCAAGAAGTTCTTTCAGGGCTCATGTGCCCATTGCAGTTAGAAATGCTCACTGATGAACTGATACAATGCTTGGAGAATTAAGGAAGTGGTTGATGAATGTTCACAATTCCAAAAAGAACTTGTTCTCCATCACTACTTCATTAAGGCATATCAAAGTGACTTCTTTAGGGAGGACTATGAAATGATCCTATCTGCAAGCCCAAGCTCTCCCCACAATGGGAGAGCTAAGCAAAGAGTGTCAAACTTTGCTCAATTTCCTGGCTTGCTTTATTGGCTTAGGTCTTTATTTTTTTTTAATTTAAAATTTAATTTCCTACTTTTGAATTCATTATACAACATGCTGACAGAATCATCCACGGGCCATCCAAGTTGCTGGTCTATTCTTACCCAGCCATGTCTCGTTGCCCAGTGTTACTCGGTGTTGTTCTGACTGTTCAAAATCTTGCTGCATCTCACCCTATGGATGTCCTGCTCATTTCAGTAAAATGTTGCATGTAGTAGTCAAAATAACCTGGAGCAAATCCACCGCTCAGACTGCTCACAGAATCTTGCTGCTGCCACGTAAAATGCCCTGACATCCACACTGTTCTTCTGCAGTGGCTTTCTAAGCAACACCATGGAAATCAATGTTGCAAGCCTTAGTTTCATAGGGATGGAACTCTTTATAGTAAAAACCAATTTGCAATAAAAATAGACTATTCTGATACTACCACCAGAATAGTTCACGTGAGCAAACCAATCACAAATACTGCTTATATTTGAATTGTCTTTTGCACTCCTGTGAGACGACATTGTAAATTACTCCTTAAGTCTTAAGTTAAAAGTGTGCTGCAAGCAAGGGCCTTCATTTCAATGATTTCGTGCTGGTAAAATGATGGAGAGTCATCACTCCATGTAACTAGGTCTGTTACACAATAACAAAACTTTAATTACTGATGGAGTAACACTGGTTTGACCCGGCATTTACTGTGCAGTTGGAGAACTTCTGCGTGGGTGGGAAGCATGGAAGGTTGGTACCTGCAGGGTTTTCTCAGTAGAAGCAGTGAATCCACAGAACTAAAGGCCGAACAGAAGACACCTTGCTTTGCATAGAGAGTAGTTTTCAGTGCTGGATGGTGCTTAGAAGTGTTGCAAGATTTTGAAAAAAACCCACAAACCACATAAAAAAAGCTGTAGGGACTTTGCTTTAGGGAGAGAAGGGTGCTATTGTGATAGTCTCTGATGGCTGAATTAGGTAAATAAAATTCAGATGCTTTTTCTTCAAAGTCTTGGTGGACCCTCATGTTAATAGTTGTCAAGTACCAGTGAAAAGTAATTAACAAAAGGCGCAAATTGTGTTTCATTCTTGGTTTCTCATTTTAATATATATTGCATAAACAAGATCCTGTTGAGCTGATTAAATAATGAGATTGTTTTGGCCTCATCAAAGTCATTCTGTGACAAAGTGTGGCAAATGGGAGGCAGTAACTCCAGTGGCAAGAGATGTAACAGTAAAGAGTAAACAGACCCTGGTGTATGCATAAAACAGGACTTTGTTGTCTGCCCTTGCAAGCAATCATTGCATTTTGTAGAATATTGCTTTTACATACGTGGCAATTACTTGAGGGAAAAATTGTTTCCTCACTGTCATAGGAAGAAATATTCCTGGGGAATCATTGTTCTTTTCATAAGATTTAGAGATACGAGCTCAGATCACAAACATGAAGTTAAACTGTATCCTTGCTTCCACAAGAGCTGTGTGCTCAGTTTCAGTTAAGGGATTGCAATGTGAGGTGAGAAGTGCTTGTTTGTGTTTGGTGTGTATTTAAGCTACTACTGTGGTAACCTTTTTGTGATTCAAGGATTGGAATAATCTCAAAGGTTGTTCAGATTGGGATTTTTGAGCCTGCCATTGGTGTTGAAAAGGGACTGTGCATATGTGACATATGGGTGGCAAACAGGTTTCCAGATGGGCTTGAAAACACGATGACGTGTTGAAACTAAAGAAACCAAACCGAACTAATGTGTAAGTTTTTAACCTGTTGCTTCTGAAGGGGGCATAGTTAGCTGTAGGTCAAAACTGGGCCATAGGAAAGCCAATACTTAACATTTGTAGTGCCCTTAAGAGAAGGGATATAAAGGAGACTGTCATTCAGAAACTACATAGCTTTCAAACCCTGTTTTTCAGCGGATGGTGCTTACACATCTATGGAGCTGAAACTTGCTGTTGTCTCTGCATAGCAGTTTCAAATGAATTGTTTCTAATTTGGGCAGTCTCTTATGTGTGCTTGTTGATGTTCAAATGCTGTCAGTTCTGGAAACCTGAGCAAATTTGGAAAATCAGAATGTGATTTGAGAGCAAGAATGATGTTCCATAAATGGATTTATTGTGAGTCCTATACATGCTGCTGTGGTTTCAGAGCAACTTGGCGCTGATGACTTTTTGGGTATCTGTGTTTTGTACCACTGAGTGCATCTGATCTGATCTCATAGTCTGCAGCACTTGGTGCCGATACAATACTTGACATAGAATGGAATAGGACAGACAGGATAGACCATTTCAGTTGGAAGTGATGTGCAATGATCATCTAGTCCAACCACCTGAATAATTCAGGGCTGACCAAAAGTTCAAGCATAATGGTAAGAGCAATATCCACACATCTCTTAAAACAGTGACGGGCTTGTGGCATTGAGCAGCTCTCTAGAAAGGCTGTTCTAGTGTTTGACAACCCTCTCAGTAAAGAAATGTTTCCTCATGTCCAGTCCAAACTTTTCCTGGCACAGCTTTGAACCATTCCAACTATCACTGGATCTCAGGGAGAAGAGATCAGCACATGGTTCTTGATTCATCTCTGCGTAGTGTATACACTGCATGCTACTACCACAGTTTCTTTTGAAAAGTTTTATTTTCTGAGAAGGTATCAACGTGTAGATAACAGAGATGAAATACAGATCTGGAGAATGGGACTCAGAGCTCCTTTGTGATTTACATTTACTCATGAAATATTACATATACAAATTTATGTGGGCTTTCCTTTGTTTTTGGGTTTTGGTTTTTGTTTGTTTGTTTTTAAACAAACATCTTTACTGATTTGACTGCACTGGATTGGGGAACTTGGTTTACAGATAGAAATCATAGACTGTACCTAGATTTTTAAAGTAAAACACATATTAAAAAAACCCCTTCATCTGCCAGAATTGCTAAGGATT